GTTAACTAGTTGAATATAAATAGTCAGTTGAAGGTGCTTGAAAATGGAAATATGCAATCACTGGCAAAGGAAAACATCGCTTATTCTTGTTTCGAAAATAATTTCTTGTGTAAACTTGTATGTTTAAGTTAGAGAGACGTTGAAGGTCGATACAATGCTATACAAAATGGAAATGTCAACTCTTGTCCTTATAATGTCTAAGGCTTCAACTGTATTCTCTCCATTTGTAAAGACCAAACAGTTGATAATGAAACTTAAAGTTATAACATTGTCATGACTTGTAACTTTATTATTTTAGACTTATTGGAAACACAAAATAATTTTTAGATTTTGTAGTCATCGTGCTATTATCGCTTTGTACTATTAGAACAAAATTAAAGTCATTTTACATTGCTGTGTTTTTTTCACATTATAGACAAACGAGTTTCTATATCGTTATAGTTGACGCATATGTCGTTCCAATATTAAAAATACATAGATTCACATAATGACATTGAAATCGTTCGTGAGATACAAAACCATATTGATGTCGTTCCAATATAAAATTGCACTAATTCACATAACAACATTGAAATCGTTCGTGAGACACAAACCGAAATTGAAGTAGATTAAGTATGAAAAATATACTACTCTACTAATTTTCGTAACGACATTGATGCCATTATATAAAAAGTGCAGCGTACATGACATAGGGAGCTATCGCGCCCTCATCCAACGGACCATTTGCTATTAGGTGGTAAAAAACTTGGAGGCGCACACGCCAACCAACATTTTTTTGGCTAATATTCTAACCCCAACGGAGACTTTTTCTCATACAATTTTCAAAAAATGACAACAAATCATGAGTATCAAACTTAAGAAATAACTTAACAACGTCTGCATCATTTCAATACAAATTTGGCAAGATTAAAAATGTTTCATGTTCAAATCATAACTAAAATGACACAGATATCGTTTTCTTTAATATGTGATGATATTAATAACATTACGTATTAAACTCACGAAATAACATAACAACATCCATATCGTTTCAATACAAGTTTGAAGACATTGATATTGTTCTAGTTAAAATTATAACAATTTTTAGCTAGATAATTATCATTTTATATGAAAAGAAACGATATTTATGTCATTGTAGTTATGATTTAAACTGGAATAATTTCAAACTCATCAAATTTGTACTAATATGATATGGACGTCGTTTTGTTATTTCGCAAGTTTGACACATAACGATATGATTATTGTTTTAGAACAATTTTGATGACATTGATTTCGTTTCATTTTAAATCATAACTAAAACAACATATATATCGTTTTAGTTTATATAAAACGATAATTATACCGTCTTTGTTAAAAATGACGATTAGATCATTCACGATCACCCAACATGCATCCAATATATGTAGATCAATCCAAATAGATCATCAATTGGGTTTTGATCTCATCCAAAAGAAGCCATAGGAACATATGATTGTATACCACCTCAAACTATTTCAACAAGAAAGTATCTTTGTCCGTTCTTTTTAAGGCCATTGAGTGTATCGACCCACTTGACGACCTCTTCGATCGCTCTATGTATGTTAAAGGCATGCTGGGTGGTTTGTGGATGATCAAATCGTTGTTTTTAACTAGAATGATAGAATCATCATTTTATATGAAAAACGATATCTATGTCGTCATAATTATAATTTGAATTGGAAAGATTTCAAATTTATACTAAAACAATATAGATATCATTGTGTTACTTCGTGGGTTTGATACATATCAATATCATTTTCATTTCAGTACATTTCTGACGATATTGATATCGTTTCAATTTAAGTCATAACAAAAATGACACATATATAATTTTAATTTATATGAAACGATATTTTTATTGATTCTACTAAAAACGATGATTTGATTGTCATGGTCATTCAACATACACTAGACATATGTAGGACAATCGAAATAGGTCATCAAGTGGGTTCGATCTCACTTAAAGAAACTATGGTAACATTTTATATTCTCATGATTGTTATCACCTTTAAACTATTCCAAAAAAAAAAAAAAATCTTTGTTCACTCTTTCTAAATCTTTTAGTCGTCCTACGTATGTCGAAGCCATGTTGGGTGCTCGTGAAGGTTCGAATAATTGTTTTTAGCTAGAATGATATAATTTTCGTTTTATATGAAAAAGAAACGATATCTATATCATTGTAGTTATGATTTGAACAATAATGATTTTAAATTCGTCAAATTTGTACTTAAACGATATAGATGATGTTATCTTATTTTGTGAGTTTAATACATGATGATATCACTCTCGTCACGTATGAAAAGAAATGATATCTAAGTCTCTTTAGTTATGATTTGAACTTGGTTGATATGAATGTCGCCAAATTTGTACTGAAATAAAGACAAAAGTTTGGTTTCTTGGACGAGGACGCACGACTCCCTACACTGCGCATGCGGTGCAAGTTTTTTGGTATAACTACTTATATGTTTTTTTTGTTAGTCTATAACCACTTCAATGTCGTTATGAAAACCTATAAAATAGTGTGTTTCGTTTTGGAACGACGTCGTTATCGTTTGTCTCTTAGGAACAATTTCAATGTCTTAATATGAATCAACGCAATTTTCATTTTGAAATGACATAAATATCGTTTTATTTCTCATGAACAATTTCAATATCATTATATGAATTAGTGCATTTTTCATACCGGAACAATATCAAACATTGTTTGTGTCTCAAAAACGAATTCTATGTTATTACGTGAAGCAATAGTTATATTTTTGTCATAAGGACGTAAATGTCACTTTATTGGCGTGGCACGATATCAGTATCCTGGACATGTATGATATTTAAATTTAAAAGTTTTCAAAAACCTGAAAATACGTAAACTTCAATTCAATTTAACTACACTAGACAAATAAAACAAAGTAAGTACGGAATATTATCAAACATCAAACGACTAACAAAAAACAATCTAAGGCTCGAAGTTCCATTCCAACAATTCTGCAGCCAAGTTTTTCTACCACATCAGTACACAATCCCAGTGAACTACACTTACATCCATCTTCACTTGGATAAATTCTCTGTATTTCAAAGTGAATATCTCGTTGTACAGTTACGTTAATTCTCAACGCTGAAATAATAAAGTATCTTATAAATATAACATTAGTCAACCTTACCCATTTCTTTGTTGAGGAAAATCTTTCACCTTCATAAATTTGAACTTCTCCTTGATATATTTGTCATCACTTGTAACATACAATTTTATTAGCAAAGGTATAACCTCCTGTAGGGACAAAATCTTTAGCAATATATAGTGTAAAATTAAGAGCGAATATTCCATGCATTACTTTAACAAGTAGTCTTGTTATTGTGCCACGTAAGGCACTGGATTCCATTACATGGTAATTAATACAAGGATAGAGTAGGATTATACCATACAATGCACTTGTGAAAACCATTCTTATACGATATATATGAAATAAATTCAAAAAATCCATGAATCTATTAAGTGCCCAATAAGTCACATGAATTTGTTTTTAGAGTGGGTTACATAAATTCATTTTTACCATCGCACTCGATTCATTGCTAGGTTTCAAAAAGATTTAAAACATCTGGATCCTTTACAACTATTTCATTTTAAGTCGTGTGCATGAAGACTATCTAAAAAAATATAAAGCAACTATATCGTTGACAATTACTACATTTAGAGCGAGCTATAGAATTTTATTTTGTCACTCCGCTTGATGATTAAAGGTAACATTCACAATGATTTACCTTGACGCACTTTTGTTGAGTGTTTTTCGAAGTGAGTTAGAATCTTGTTTCTCTTCCAGAAAGAAACAGCCATTTGAACATAAAAATCATCATAGGAGACTAACCCGAAGAACAAAATTCTTATAGATTGTTTCAGAATCCATTTCTTCCTCGTGCCGTTTGTCACATCCTAAAAGACAACCAATATAGGAAAACAAGAGTCTTAGAAAATTGCTATAAACATCATCGTATATGGTACATACAACGCAATTAAAACCTTATTCATAGTATTGTCTAATCCTATTCAATATTGCTTATTGAATATGCTTTGATACCCTTAAAAATAATACTTACCATACAAAAATGTAAGGTTTTAAGTCGTCTACTAAATGAATCCTTCTCCAATTCTCAATTATGTTCATAGCTAACTATTGAAAGATCTAAACAAAACACGGGCATCCAAATGACATTGAAGGGAAAAGCTAAGGTAGCGGTCGGTTTCCATTTTCATTTTCAAAACGATTTTTAATTTTTCCCGAAAACGGCTCGTTTTCCGCGTTTTGAGCGTTTCAGAAATTTATAACTGAAAACGCTCAAAATAATAAAAAATCGTTTTGCGTTTTCAATTATAAATTTTAACTCGTTTTCAAAAATGCGTTTTCGAAAATGACGGACCAAACGCGTTTTCCGCATTTTCGAAAACGGAAAACGGCAAACCAACTGCACCCTAAATTGTGGTAGCTTCTTATGCCCCTTTCTGGTTACTACACATATTTTTATTAAATTCTAATAACTCGTTTTCATCTAACTATTCAATCGTACTAATTAAAAAGATTAGGATAATTAATTCCCATATCACTGTGAATTTTTAACCATAAATAAGTTGTTTAAATTTATTTTCATCATATATCACATTTCGATCATATATCAAAGCTAATTAATAAATTAATTTCATTTTATTTTTGATTACTCGGTCAAAGGCCTTTTGAACAAAAAATGATTCAAGGGTGGCCATTTGAACTCATTCCTCAAAAAATTGTCAAAAATGACCACTTGTTTACATAAAGCATAGGTTGAGGTCGTTCTTGTCATGAAAAAAAGGTTTAGAGACTAACATGGCACACAGGGCATAGGTTAGGGATCATTTGCGCCAAATTCCCTTATCTAATAGCAAGGTAAAGTCGAGTCGTGTGTGCACGTGGCGTGAAATTATTGGGTAAATTGTCCCCGGATGACATACATAGCATACAATATAAGGTACCCTCCTCTACCATTTCCCCATTGTTCTTCAACCTATAATGCAAAATTCATTCATTAAATGAATTAAATTTACTGTGCTATATTTCGATACATTTGGACAGCAGGATTTCTGACGAGAAGGTGAATTCAAATTCCCGAGGTAAATATTACTAAAAATTGTATTTACAAGCCCTGGTAAATGCGACTGATCTTAGCAATTTCTATTGTTTGTTTGCCTATATTAAATTGGAGTTTTTTATGATCTCCTAAAATGTTTGAGATTCTGAAAACGGTTTGTTAGTGATATTTGGGTTCTCAAATTGATGGATATCAATTAAGTCAACCTAGGGTTTTATTGTTTTCTTTTGATGCATGTAAAAAATAATTTAAATAATTCAGTTGATTAGTCAAATAGAATCACATCGCTGGAGCCATTTTTTGATGTTCTACAATATAAATATGTAAAATTAGTTGATTTTTAGATATGTGAACAATTTTTGGTTTATTCAGATTGGGGAAAACTTGACTATAAAATTGTTAATTATAAATCTTGCACCCCTTTATTGATGAAAATTAATGATTATAAACTTCTCGTCGAACAAGGGGAAGATGTGCTTCTTGGACTTAGCTAAAAAGTATTTATCTCTGCAAATAGGTTTGCAGCTTGATGCTAAAAGATACAATGAAGATGGTTTCATGAAGTGCTGCAATTACTTTGACATAATGTTTAATCTATTTTATGGAATGAACACTCGCCTATATCTAATATTTTTATCTGTTGAAAATATTTATTTATCTATTAGAAATTTTTCTCATATAATTCATATTTCATGCTATGAAAGAATATTCTCAAGGAAATATTAATTATTAGGCTTAAGACGATATCTAAAAATTCCATGAGTTTTAGAAAATTATTGTTTATGAGATATTAACAATAAGAGGATTGATTACCAAGAATTTAGTGCATACTAGTCAAGGTTGAACATTCATTGCACTTTATTCTGAAATGCTTTATTAGTGCTGTAAAAATAATATTCGAAGATACTTGAATCTAAAAAATTGTTAATAAAAATTGTTTATGTTAAATGAACTTTTTATTCAATGAGGATCTGTTTGTACACCATATTTTTTACATGATTGGGGGTATCGGACTTAACTAAAACCTTTGTAGTTGGAGTTAATGAGAGGGTGGCAATTTAAATTCAAGCGAATTTAACTGAACTTAATTGAGATTTAATGTCCTCATGCATTCACAAAGAAAACATTTCATGAATTGTTTTACCTCAAGTTTGAAGACGGTGAAGAGAGAAAAACTTAAATTAATAATTGAATATTAAGATTAAGGACGTTCTATCAATAATAGGATAATGTAATTACGAAATAATAGTTATCGTAGTAGACGTATTAGCTCGTCATTTAGGATGAGCCTAAAAATATCAAAATTTCTAGCATTGTTGGAATAAGATTCGACTAAACCTTTCGAACTACTGTCACTTTAATGGACCATTTATTTTCATATGCTGATAAGTCTTGTGATGTGGGAGCAACCCTAATTTGGCTAAAATCTCTCTGTTGATGTGGTAGAAAGAGAAGAAAAATATTTGATGATTGAAATGAACTAACAATCAATTTTTAAAAACAATTTAATAGTTGAAGAAGTCAATTAGAGTAGTCCCTCCATTTACCGATTTGATCTAAATATAAGAGAAATGCAAGCCTCTGAAAAAAATGTTAATTATTATACATGCACATAAATAGTTAAATTCTTGACCTGCTTTCTTGAATGTAAAATTCTAATTAACTTATTATTGGAAAACACTGAAATGCATAAATGAAAATGAATATTGATTAAATGAATGTGAATGTTGGCATCCAAGAAGCTTGCTGACACTGGTGGCCGAATTAATCACCTAATGAGTTTTGTTTTGCCAAATCTAATTGGGGTCCCAAGATTGTGGAAATTAAAGCTTAAGACGAGAAGCTGTTGTGGAAATGAATTTGTGGTTTCTGAATTTTGAGGACATGAATGATAAACTGTATTCTTAAATGTGAAATTGTAATTAACTTATAAATAGAATTAATAACATTGAAATGCAAAATTGAAAGCTAAAATTTTCTGAAAGCTAAAAGCATTTCACTCAAATCTGTGCTGGTCTTAGCTTAATAGCTATGATTGTTTGCATATTTTTCAAATTTCCTTGATAAAGTTAATTGACTGGATGTTGTCTTACAGGGAAACAGTTAAAATGATGAGGCTTAAAACTTATGCCGGGCTTAGCTTAATAGCTACACTGGCAGTTATCTATCATGCCTTTAGTAGTAGAGGTCAATTCTATCCAGCAATGGTTTATTTATCGACTTCCAAGATCAATCTGGTGCTTCTTTTGAACATGGGTCTGGTTGTTATGTGCATTTTGTGGCAATTAACCAAGAAAATCTTCCTTGGATCACTGCGAGAAGCGGAAGTTGAAAGGCTGAATGAGCAGTCATGGAGGGAAGTGATGGAAATACTGTTTGCAATCACCATTTTCCGACAGGACTTCTCAGTTACATTTCTCTCAATGGTTACCACTCTACTTTTGATCAAGGCTTTGCATTGGTTGGCTCAGAAAAGGGTTGAGTACATTGAAACAACTCCTTCTGTTCCTAAGCTTTCTCACATCCGCATTGTCTCTTTCATGGGATTTCTCCTCCTTATCGACAGTCTCTTTCTGTACAATTCTGTAAAATATTTGATAGAAACCCGAAAACCTTCAGTGTCGCTCTTCTTTGCATTTGAGTAAGTTTCCGTTCTTATGATTTAAAACTTGTTCTGTTGTATTGTTAATATGCAGCGTGGCTGAGTAATTAGCACATTGCTTTCATAACTAAATTGTAGTCTTTCAACTAAATGAGGGGAGCAAAAATGGTTCTTCACCCCACTTTCCTTTCTGTTTGTTTATATATATATTTGTAAATAAATTGCGTGATTCACTCTAGGTAACAAGATCTAGCATACTTCTTCAGACTGGTTGTTTACAAGTTAATCCCTTCAATGAGTTTCAATAAGATTATAGTGTCATTCTGCAGCATTGGCTGCATTCTCTTTGATTTCCATTTTAGCCCTTTATCTCAATTTTGCCAAGAATACTCCTTGAATGGAGAAATATAACAGCTTGTGCAGTTGACACTTGTTGGAAATTATGATAGACTTCTCCTTTTACATTTCAAATCCATGTAACTGTCAATGTACTGATTACCATATCCCTTAGCAGAGTCTTGCAACATAGCTATGCCAATTAACGCTTAGAGAAAAGCTGAAAGTATTCTGATTGCCTTGTTTCTGAAGCTGCTTAAAGGTTTTCTCATTATCTCTTCCTTCCTCCTCTTCATTACCTCCCAGATAAATAAATACATGAACAAAACTAGCAGGCTGGTAGGCATTAAGTTTGATTTTTTTAAATTTAACCCATCAACTGGACCAGATAATGCAAACACAATTCACTTTCTATTATGCATAATTAATATTATTTTTGCTTCTTCTTTTTTCTTTTTTTAATTTAACCCATCAACTGGACTAGATAATGCAAACACAGTTCTCTTTCTATTATGCATAATTAACATTGCCTATAAAATATCTAGCTCTTCAAATGGATGGGTGATATGAACTTAAATTCCTGACATGAAAATATATGTCATTTGATATCTCAAAAATTTTGTGCTGATGATGATACTCTCTTAGATGTAAATATGACCATGTGCTCAAAACCTGAAGATAACTTGCAAATATGACCTTCAATTATCTGGTTGGTACTGCACCCATGACAGAAAACGGGCACGTGCTTGTAATATATATATATTTGAACTCTGGATTTGATGGGCTTAATGTTCCTTTTGTCAATCTGGAAAGTTGGTTAGAAAATGTTTTTGTTAATTCTTACTGCATTTTAACTTTTAATTCTTTCTAAATATGGTTAGTTGAAATCATTATTTTCTTTCAGATACATGATACTGGCAACAACAACTGTGTCGACGTTAGTGAAATATGTATTCTATGTTAGTGACATGCTTATGGATGGACAATGGGAAAAGAAAGCTGTCTACACTTTTTACTTGGAGCTTATTAGGGACTTACTGCACTTGACTATGTACATGTGTTTCTTCCTCGTGATTTTTATGTAAGTTACTGTTTAGCTTAATTTTTTCGCCCCGTTTGTAAGTGTCTGATAATAGGTTATTTCTTGACGTCCTGGCTGTGTATATGTATGTATGCTACTATGCTAGTTTGGAGGTCTACATGTGTGTCTTAATTGAAATTTTACTATCTGTCTGTGTATGATAACATTCACTTATGTAAGCATTTGTATCCCTCCATGTGCGCATTTCCTCACTTGTTCTAGTATCTGTATGTTGCAAAAATTGTAAATAGTTTTTTAATTTTCGTTCTCCTTTGAGCTCAGTAACCACCTATAATACGGACTTTCGCCTTTCATTTCTGATGGTAAATCTGAAACACTTTGTAGTGCTGAATTTTTTCCCCTGCCGTTCTGCATGAGATCTTATTTGCTGGTTGGGATATGACAGATCAAACCTTGATAGACTCCCTTGTTTAAACATGGCCAAGCATAAGCTGGTTATTTCTCTGCTATTTATGGAGTCGGATATTGCTTGTAATGTCAAAAAATACAGATTTGTTCCAAATTACTTTAAAGAATTGAACTAAACTTTCTTGTGCTGTTATGTCATGGATTAGAGTCAGTTTTATTTCTGAGCGGCATTCTTTTTCCTCTCTCTAGGAGGAGAAGGCATTAGGCACTTGTGTCACAATTAGGCCCTTTATATATTTTCTATTATATTTTGATTGTTTGAGGATCGCTAGGCAAGTTGGTTGTTTTATGTTATATTCATAAGCATAAAAGCTTCATTTTGATATGCTCATTGTTGTTCTTTAATTTAATACTCATCTTTTCCATTGTCATTATTCCTTGGTTTCCTTTTCCTTCTCCAGGAACTATGGTGTGCCTCTTCACTTGATCCGAGAACTTTATGAGACATTTCGAAACTTCAAAATTCGTGTGGCTGATTACATACGTTATCGGAAGATCGCTTCTAATATGAATGATCGTTTTCCAGATGCAACACCTGAAGAGCTTACTTCGTAAGCTGCTTTTACTTTAAAAAAAAAAAACATTTTGTATATGCTTTTTTTACTGTTACTCTGCATCACTTTCTCGTTCATTTGCTGTCTTTGCAGAAGTGATGCAACCTGCATCATATGTCGTGAGGAGATGATAACAGCTAAGAAACTTATTTGCGGGCATATTTTTCATGTGCACTGCCTGAGGTCGTGGTTAGAAAGACAAAACACGTGTCCTACATGCAGAGCCCTTGTTGTACCATCTGAAAATGGCACTTCTGTTACTGGATCGAGCGCTGATATTCATCAGCAAGGTAAAATTTATTCCCTGTGATTGGTTTTCTTGATTTTTGATGTATGTTTTCTATTTAATTCAAGCAAAAATTGCTGTTGTGTAACTGTGATTGGTTTTCTTGATTTTTTATATGTGTTTGTTTTGTATTCAATTTAAGCAAAAATTGCGGTTTTGTATTTCTAAATATTATGCTTTTTATGGGCCTTCCAAATTTGAAGCATTCTACAGTCTAATATATACAATCAGAAAGTAGGCATAGTTGATGATTTTACCTCAAATTGATGAACCGGTAATCATATCTGTGTAAAATAGCAAGCTAACTTTGTCGGTGGGACACAGGTACAAGCACAGCCAGTACATCTCATGGCTTAGTCGGTGCAAATGCCAATATCACTCAGCAACAGGCTAGACTCCAAGCTGCTGCTTCTGCTGCCTCAATTTATGAAAAGTCTTTTGTTTATCCTTCTCCGAACGCTCTAGTCTGGTATTCCTTTTTCCTTGTTACATTATCTATTTTTTTCTTGTACCTTCTCCATATTGGTTTCTCATATTCATAATGTTGTTACATCTTTGAAATGCATGCAAAACATGAATTCCATGGAGATTTTTTCTTAGACAACAGAAGTTCCTATTTATTTTGTCAGGTGAACAGTTCATAGAGTGCTTTAAGTTCATGACAACTTCCATTTCGATTATAAAAAATTCACGTTGGACATTATTTTTTATGGAGATGAGATATCTATATCTGGAGATGATGTTAGGCAGAACTATTAGACAATTGATTCTAGGTCAGCAAGTAAATCCACTGTTGGATGTTGTGATTCTGGGATCTCATACAGGGGCATGAACAATACTCAGAAAAATCATGCTGTTGGCATTAGATTTCTCTGTCCTTGCTGGTCAGACCTGGATATGCTTAACCTGGATCTCGTACATAGGCATGAATAATACTTAGAGAAATCAATCCAACACATTAAATCATTCCATGCTTGCAGGTCACCTGGATATGCTTTACCTCCTCAAACCTTAGCGCGTCAGGGCTCTACGTCTATGGCAAATTCAGACGGACAGCTTCCTGGAGGGAATGTGCAGTATGGGCCAGGGTTGGAAAGCAATCTTATTGTGTCAAATTCACAACTGGATGCACATAGGAAGTTAATCGAGCACCAGATTGAGGTACTTCAGTTTCTATACTGGGCTGCTCTTTTATTTTCCTTGTGTAACATATTTTGAATCTTAAATTTTTCTGAAGCTATCACTTAATGTACGACTTCCGCTTGATCACTGTTTCAATTTTATTTTGCATTGATAAAATATGTATCTCTGGGTTGTGGGGCTGAAGCTCTTGTGGTTGAAGATCTAGATTTTCTAAGCCTCTTTTTTGTTATAAATAAAAAAAAGGAAGTGTTACACGTACATAATTGTTTGCATAATAGTGTCCATAATTACATGTGGCACTGGATTCAACTTTAATTCATATCTCACACTTTCACATCAACAATCGGATAATTGCCATATCACATTATGGATAACATTATGTGCAATAATTATGTACATGTAGACTTTTCCAATAAAAAAATAAATAAAATTGTCAGCTTCTTTATGGATAAGCATGTACTGATTTTTTCTTTTATGTCAAATTATGAGTTTGTATGTGTGGAAGCCTCAACAACTATTGCTGGTCTTCACTGTTCTCGCACAGGTTTCTCTACGTGTTCATAACCTTTGGTTTTGGTAGGATCTGTCGGTAAACTAAAATCAGATGGAAGTGTTCATTTTTGGGCATACTTCTGGAAATCTGAATATATACCTTTTTAAGTGTTTCACTAAACTGATGAAAGGAGAACTTGTTCTCAAATATACAACATAATAATGAGCACCTTTTCATATAGAAATACCACCAGCATATTAGATGCCTATGTTAGAGAGCAAGAGATGGAATCTACCGATGACGGTTTGAACCTGGAAAAAATAAACATAAAACAAAAAATAAATATCACCGCATACATCCCTTGCTTTTTCAAATATATTGTTTTACTTGGATTTCACCATAGGTACCTCTATTGTGTACAGTTTCTGCAACACCAGCTGAAGCTCATACAAACATCAGATGCCAAGAGGACCGTGGATCCAGGAACAGCTGACGTCAAGGGAAAGGGAGTTTTATCGTCATCTTCAGCAATTCCAGACTGTAGTGAGAATAGTGAGTCAGAAGTTATAGATAGATAGGCCATCATAAGTGTAGATGTTTACAAGGGGCATGAGAGAAGAAATATCCTTCATGGTGAAGACTTTTTACATGAATTCATCCAAGGTATTGAAAATGGCAAGACCTTGAAAGCCAATGTTCAGAAAACAGTGTATTTAAGTTCACTTGTGCTTTGGACTACAAGTTCCTTGTAACACACCAGATTATTAGTGCCATAAAATAGGAAAGGACAGTGAGAAATGACCCGTTTTCTCTTTCTATCTTTTGATTTTGATTTTTGTAGGATGGGAAATTCCCGTTTTTAGAAGCTGGAAACTTTGTATCCTTTTGCTTTTTATACGTTATAATGCTTCCCCTGTATTCTATTATTTCTACGTATATTCGAGTTTGACGTCCGGTTTTGAAACTTAAGGAACGCTTCCAAGCTATACTGCCGCTTGGGCCGGTCGAGCTCGAGCCGTAATGTTTAACATTAGATTGATAATTGATTAGAGGGTTACGCATATCCCCGTTCTCTTCTGCCGAATGGTTCAGTCGCCATTGGTAAAATGAACCAAAAGTCATCCACCTGTTTCATAAATATGGAATTCTCTTATGAGATTTACGTGTCTTGATATATTCTTCCGGTAAGCAAAAAGCAATTATGCATTTTAATCCTTTATTTTGTACAATTTTAAAGTTGTTATTAGATTATGCCTCTGTTTGTTCCAACTAAATTTTTTGATTAAAATCTAAATTAAATTCAAAAATTATTTATAATCATACATTTTACGGGAGTAATAAATCTGATTTTATGGGGTTATATATTTTTTCTTTATTTCTTCATTACTTGTTAATATATACTTTTTCATACTTTTGATTTGAAGGAGACGTTATTGCTATATCATTAAAAAAATTAATTTTTCAATTTTTATTTTTTCATTACATATTTTATATCGCTTGATTTAGTAGCATTTTCACTAATTTCTTTTAGGAGACTTTACATTAATAAACAAGTTTCTGTTTCATTTTATACGGGAAAAGATGTGAAATCTAAAGGATCAATTATATTCGACTTTTACACAATTACTTGGTTTTGATTCAACTGAATGTGTAGGGAGCATTAAATTCTTGGACGAATTTTTAGGCCATTATAAGTAGAGATTATCTTTGGGAAAGATGGGAAATTCAGTTTAAAAAAGAAAAAAATCATTATTCACCCATAGTATAAAAGCAGTTCGATTTGGTTTGATTTGATTCTTTTTGGAACCGGATCGAACTGGACCATATCCACTCCTACTGGAGTGGGCAATTAAGATAGAAGTCGATCATTAGAACTTACACATCGTTGTCTCTGCAATGTACTCAAATTCACGAGAGTGACAGACGTGGGAGGAGAACCCCCATTACAAAGGTTTTTCGAACGATAGTAATTTATGAAGGAATTTTCGCAAAATGAAAGGGATGCAAAATTGAATTTACCTTCAAGTGAGTGAGTTTCATCGAAGGACAAAGCTAAAGAAAATTCACAAAATCCATTAGGGAAGCAATCGGATACCGTGTGGAAGCGACAGTAAATTTGACTCGATAAAAAGAAAAACACATAAGACATCAAAGAGACCATAAATCAAAATGAAACATTTATAGAGAAAAACATACATATAGTTGACAATTCAAATAAAAATGAGGTCAAAACCAAATCTTATGTTACACTTCGCCCTATAGGCTCCACGTCGCCAACCCACTGAAACCCTTATGATGAAGCCACATGGACCATTGGAGTCTATAGATCCGAAGTGTAGAAGCCATACTCATTGAAGCGATCCTATGTTAAAGACGAAACGCTAAATTTAAGCTCATTTGTCTACCAAAGTGACAAAGCTCAACACAAGTCAAAATCGAAGCCCAACTACAACAAATGATGACCCACGCATGAGGATTCTGAATTTATGTATGAAATTCTTTTGGAATGATTGATGAGATCTTTGTAATGAGTAAAATGTCAAGTCTTGTCAATCTAGGCAATAGGATGGCTATTCTTTGTAAGATCATTAAATGCGCCACATGCTAAAAAGTTCAAATTGATGTATAGGAATTATGATCGTATGCTTTGGTTAAGGAGATAGACCACGTGGATTTTCATCTAATGGACACCATTTCATTTGTAGCACGATAAATACTCCATGTATCATTTGAGGACTAACGCAAATCAATACACTTGAAACTACTATTTGTCTTCTCTCTTGCCGATTATACATTTGTTTTTGCTTGAGTCAAGATTATCTGACTTTAGTCAAGTTGTTGACGATTGGTTATTATCACACAATCCTTCTCAAAATATATTATCGGAACCTGAACATATTTGTCCCATGTTATAAAGCTTCTTCTACGTCGAAATCCAGAGTATTATTGACTAGCATCATGTTCATACTTGTTGAAATTTGCTTATGTGTACATGAGTGAGTCCGGTATCTGTTGTTCGCGTCACCTAACTAAAAATGAGGTCAACATCTTATTTGGTTTAGGTAAAAATCAAATTTTGATAAAATTTAATAAAATATGTAGTTGAAAAAGTCAAAAGTTATAGACCATAATGAGATATTTGAGTGAAAAAAGTTTAAACAAAAATGTGGATCAAACATGGGTTAAATGTCATGTCGGTGAATCAAATTGTTGAAGAGGTTTTGCAACCACTGATCTTTCAAATTTTGGCGGCAACATTCTCGTCCTAGATGAAAGTCACTAGTTTGTCTAGAAAAATATTTAGGTACTAAGGAACTTCTCATGGCAAAATTGCATATATTTGTCAATTATTATGATCATAAATCATGAAAAGTTTCTCAAACTGTAATAATATATTTCTGAAAGAGTAATGCTATTCATAGTCAACGATTGCAATAATCATCCTATATAATAACTTGTCATTTGATGTATTAGCTTGTTATTTAACGAAATAGAATTACAGAAAATTAATGTCTTATCTATTACATAAAATGACTACTATATTCATTTACCATGAATATCACTACTATCTTTGGAAATATAGCCTGTGTTTAACAATATTCTTTGGCAGAAAGAAAAAAAAAACAATGTTTTCAATAGTGATTTTTAGAAAAATTTGTGATTAAGAAGTGGAGAAAAATTTTGAGTTTACACACAGAGCCTCTGTTTGTTTCTTATTATTTGTCCATTAAAATGAAAAATATGACCGTTGTTCATCAAATCAAGTCACTATATTTAACTTTCTATATCTTGTGTGGGGTTCATAATGGTTGTATTTTTCATTCTTATTCTTACATTAACAATTTAAAATGGCTGACTTGGCAGAAAATCACAACAAAATGACTAAAAAACTAGGGGAAAATGAAAGGGCAACCCCACTGACTAAACCCAAATGAGTTACCCCATTTCTCCCAAATTGAGTTTGTTGGACGTCGCGACATCTCCCGCAGCCAAGTTGATCATCGCAGTCATTGTCACTGGCGCTGACGAAGAGCCCACATCGTGTCCTTCACATTTACACCGTCCATGGCAACGATTCGCAGTCAGTGTACCCTACGCTCGTACCCCAAGCTAGAATCGGCCACCATACTTACCTCCTTCCTCGATGCTGTAGCCACACATCCATCCCCTGGCATCAATGTAAGTGTCTGTGGAGTTGTTGTTTGACATGGGTTCTTAGTTTTTTCCATGGTTTTTTTTATAAATATCATGTTTGAATGTCCCCAAAGGTTTCCCATATACATGTTTGGATTTTGGATGTTGATTAATCTTTGTTTGAATAAGTTACATTTATTACGAGACTTGTTGGTTTATGAAGATGGGTGCCACCATTTTAGCTTTGTTGGTAACTCGATTTTGCATAAGTGTCTTCACTGATAGTTGAATTTTGGCACCTGTTGGTTTAATGGGAAAATTAAGAAGGAATTTCCTGCACCGATTGTTCTAAATACATGTATTATGAGAATTGTTCTTGTTGTTTAATGAAGATGAACTTTTATTTAATTCCGTCTTTAGGGATAAATCCGTAGTTCACGTATGTACGATGAATGGAAGATGAACTTTTATTTTATCATAATTTCAATCTTACGTACGTATAATTAATCATTTAACTACATCTTCGAGTCTATCTTTTTGACGAGTTTGTTTCATTTTTGGACCTCGGTTAGAATGATAGGAAGAAATTTCAGAGTTTGTCACAGTTGCAAGCAACAGGCACTACTTCGAACAATGCCAATTAAAACGTCGATGCCCTAGTTGTGACCATGGATATCAAAAATATTTTGAGTTCGAATGGAATACTGGTAACAAAGGGCGATTGTTCTTTACCTGTAGTAATGATTGCGGATACTTTGATTGGGTGAAAGATGAAGATTTAGGCGGGGAATCGAGTTCCATTTGGCATGCGGTCAATCAGGCGCTCGACAAGGAAGAAAAAGAGCTACCAAGACTCTTTGATGGGCTAGTTAGAATTAGCGAGAAACAAGATGTTGACATATCATTGCACATGACTTTTTTAGCAAAGGAAAGGGAATTGCCAACTATGATGGGAAAGGAAAGAGGTCGGATTGAGGGGGTGATTTGAGTCATGTCATCGGTTGAAGCACTAGTACGATGTGAATTTCAAATTGCATAACAATATATTGGTCTTATGTATGTCTAATTTGTATTTCACGATGATTTGTAAGCTAAAAATCTATGACTACTATTTCCTAATTGATCCGTTCATAAATTCGTATGTTTATGCCTCCTCACTTTAATTGATCTGTGGTCACATTTGTTTCACATTTAAATCTTGAGAATTCAAAAGCAATTTTTTTTACACAGCAAGAAGAATTCATGAAATCCTGAGAATTCAAAAGCAATTTGTTTCACATTTCAATCTTGAGACTCCCATTCTTTGGGATATAATGTAATTGGATCCCCATTCTGATTAGAGTTTTGTACACAGCAAGAAGAATTCATGAAATGTCAAACACAAAATCCCAAAATCTAGCCTCAAAACAGAGTTGTCTCTTGTCCACGCGTTTAAGAGACAAAGGAGGTTCTCATAGAAAATGTTTCTGCTTTTTTGTTTCACTTAGGAAGATGAAGTATATCCCCTCATCGTTTCAGTAGCTGACCTCCTCAACCTTGGTTATTTTGAGCAGTACCAATATTCTTCAGTCTACTGGACGAGTTTCATGAAGCTTCTGGCTGCCATTTCATAGAAAAACTTCCAAAAACGAAACCCAAGGATGAATCGTTTGTTGGGATTTAGACCAAAATGATTGGAAACCCTGCAAGTATATAAAAAGGATGATTAAAACCTTTGGAAGATGTCCAACAAGGTCAATGCCGTATTTTTGTATAAACAAGATGTTAGATATTTTTCATCATTTTGCATGTATTTATTTTTTTGTTTTGCGAATGATTTACTGCCCAGACTAGTGTTTGCCGCTGCGCAATGGGGATCGACCCGCTCGATCAGGTCGCAGGGGTCGAGGGGACAGCGCCCCCCATGGGGGCTCGGGGGCAATGCCCTCGAAAGAGAATTTTAATTTCAAAAGTCTTTAAATAGGTGCATCTTTTCGTTTTGACAGTTACTTCCAACAGATGTGTTCTTCATTTCAAGGGACACACCTATTCAAACGGTTGCCTCAATTTCTATAAATTCTGAGCGAATTCTCGTTTGCAAAATACATTAAAAAAATATTATTCTCTCTTTCTCTTGGCATCATTGGTTCTTTTTCAAGTATCTTCTTGGTTTGATCAAATAGTCACAATTTGAATCAAAAGCCTCCATTGTATCCTGAGAGAGAGTGTCTATTATACCCTAGTCGTGACTTCGTTGGATAGGGGAGAAACACCTCTTAAAAGATAACGTTTTTCGTGCCTTGGAGTTCATTAAGTTTTCAGATTTTCCTACATTTTTCTCAACACAAGAACCCGTCAATCTCCAAAGTGCTTTGCTTTACTTTTACACCTTAGTTATTTCAAAAATTTAACCTGACAGATAACCTTAGTTCTTTCAAAAAATTTCAACCCACGTACAATATTTACTAGATCGAAAAGCTCCTACTTCTATATGCAACCAACTCTTCAACTCCATTTAATGTAATCATTCAGGAGTAATAAAAGACATAAATGACAGATAACAATCAACAGACACACAACATTCCTTGACTTCAATGTAGGGATGCATCATTATTTGGGAAGTGAGAAATGAAGTAAAGTCACATTATCCACGAAAAAAATCTAAATGTAGGCTTCCCTTACTAGTAAATAAGAAAAATGCAGCAAATCCAAACACCCTTTTGCATGTAATAAATGTGTGCACACGTAACCTCCCCCTGTGAATCAAAAGCATGTGGCACCTTGCTGGGGTAAATTTGGATAGAAGCATGGCATAACACGACCTGATTTACATGGTAAACATTATGACACGGTGTGACGTCAAAAAGCATATATAAATACCTAACACAAACCTTCTGCGTTGACCACGACATTTGTGGTTACCAGATGGACGAAGTATTGTAATGGTAGTAGAGACATCTGGGCATTGACTGATCCTTCTTCCACATTACTTTGAGTAGCTCTAGGCCTCTTCCCTTTGTTTGACGATACACTGGCCTGCATGTTCAACAATTCAAATGCTTATTTGTTACAAATTAATTATAAACAAAGATAGTAATAGTAAAACATACCTTCACCCTCTTTGAACGAGACTATAATGGGCCTTTCCTCCAAAGTTTCTTCGTGCGCCCTTTCTATTAGATGATTCTGGATCCAATATGTGTCCACCACTACTGATAGGCTGGGAATAGACAACGCTTCCAACACTTGACTTAGAGTTCCGTAAATCCTTCATTTGCGATGTCATCCGCTCCGTTATAATGCGTGTCCATACTTTGTTATCTGCTGCCAGGTCCGCCACCTCCGAAAAAATTCGGCACATCTCATTATACGTTAACTGTCCAGGACTACTGACCAATCCATCGTAATTTACCATGATCCTAGAGTGTTCTCTACTAACATCTCATCTCCACCTCCTTAATATGTACCTCTCAGGCATCGATGTTATGTCATTACGAATCAAGACTGCGATCGCATGCCTACAAATAATTCCCTGAAATTCAAATAGGTGGCAGCTACAAATCAATTCACATGTATCTCTCCGAAATGATACGCAAAAAGATTTTTTCTTGCGGTGCTCATGAAGTACGACATCCTCACGAACCTCGTAAGTCGACCAATAATTGTCATTGGCATTTTCAGGTACAAGGTCACAGTATACCTTCCCAGTGAATTCCTGCTGAACTTCTCTGAACTTTTCAATGGTATAAACCTCTTGAAATTGCTTTTCGATTTTGTATGTTGTTGCACACGGAACCATTTGGGAGTAAGACTAGAAATCAGCTTGTAACTCCTTCTCGACCTTACTTCTTAATGCTCTTTCATACCGCTCCACAAACTGCTTCAACGAGCTTTTCGAATGCACGTACCCATCGAAAAATGCATTCATGCTCTCACTTCGTTGTGTCATGGACATGCCTGCCAAAATGTGGTTTTCAAAAAACAAGGCACCCACCAACTTCAGTTCTCATATAATCCTAATAGCCAATCATTGTCATGCAAGTCATACATATCGAGCATCGACCTCCAACCTCCTTTGAATTCTTGTACATTCTTGGCATCATATACTAGTCCATGTATAGCAGAAAATATTGAGCTCTTTTCAACGTGGTATCCAAACTTTTCTGGCAACTTTTTCATAATGTGCCACAAACACCACCTATGCTTCGTGTTTGGAAAAACAATCCCAATGGCATTTTGCATTGCTCAATCCTGATCAGTAATGATGGCATTAGGAGCTTGACCATGCATACACTCAAGCAAATATCTAAACAACCACACAAACGTCCCCATGTCCTCGTTCGACAACAATCCACAGCTGAGCAGTATGGATTGGCCATGGTGATTTACGCCAACGAAATGGGCGAATGACATGTTGTATCAAAAGTGACAACATCACCGAACTCCCTGAAAGATTGTCTACATCTATTGTCCGCCCAAAAAAATTCTTTAGTCTGCATCCGTCATCTAAGTCCATACTAAAGTAAAATCTCAAGCACCATGTTTGCATCTTTGAAAAGTACGCCTGTATTGAGAGGGCATCTTCTTTCCCAAGACGTAGTCGTCTCACCTGTTCAATGTAGTTTCGACAATCCTTTTCCACAAAAGTCGTGTTCTCATATCCACCAGCTTCGACAACTGCAGAATTATAACTCTTATGCAAGGGAATTCCTGCCATATCATTCACCTCAAACTTTCGTTTCACACTTGCACTCAATTTTCTGTTGTATCGGTACAACCTAGACTTGGACGGACTTGTTTTGTGATTGTGGTCAAAGTACACTTTGTTAATCCTCCATATTCCCAGACTATCTAAAGATGCAGATATTCTTGCTTTACAATTAGTTTGACTGGTTGGTTGCGATTTCAAGGAGCCTCCCGTAGCATAAGTTTTCCGACCTTCATGGCTACATGTGAACATCACATATCACATAACTCTATCTTACCCTTTTTTTTAAATTCCTTTTTCGCACCGGAAAGCCAACAACTTAAGCATATTTTTTGTATAAATCAAACATTTCCTTTTCATCACTAAACACCATACCTACCTTAGGCATTAACGTCACATCTTCTCCTACATTTTCGTTGTCCAACATATTCAAATTCTCCACAGCATTCTCATTATCAGATTGTAGCTCAGGATTCCCATCTTCCTTAATTTCGTTTCCTGCCACTGAAATTATAAGAAGCAATCAATGCAGCAAATAAACCCTAAACCCATCAATAATTGAAGGCCAAACGCAATTCTGGAAAATATAAGGAAATGCACAAAATACAAACTTCCAGAATATATATTTATTTCAATTTTGTCGTCTGTGTTTTGTTTGGAAATAGAACTTACATTTTTCCACTTGCCATTCTATGCATAATTACATGTATTAAGCCAATATGCAAAATATCTACTAAATAGACTCGAGCTTTTCTAGGTAACACGGCCAAAAGTCAGCACATTTAAAGACGTTATTAGAAGATAAAACTATTGAAACTTCTGGAGTCGGAAATTCCCTTTGATCATCAATATAATTGTCGAAAATTTTCTCACGAAGGCCAAACTGGAAAATATAAGAAAATGTACAAAATATTTAGTTTGGTCAGAAGATGCTAGAAATACTTATGAGGGGGAGGAAGCTGAAAATGAAGAGGTGTTATGATACAATCTCCATTTCCATAGCCAAGTCGACTCCATTTCTTTGAACTATTGGGAAAATCAAAATGGGTATCAACTGCTTGTATGGTGGCTTCTTAGCCGAAGATGGTCCCCGGCACCGGTGAATCGAGATGGGTATGAGCGACGAGCAGTGGATGGCGACTTGGACAACGCTTTGGGGGGAAGGACTGCTGGGTTCTATTTTGGAAGGGAAACAAATGTGTCTTCCCGATAGAACCCACAAGCCTTTGATGTTTTCTTTATTTTTATTTTTTTCTCTCCCCCTGCCACGTAAGTCGAATTCAAACTCCTGTGAGTTTCCTGTCAAAATCCCTCTGTGCTTAGAGCTTCTTTCTTACATTAATGTGGTTCAAACGGGATGAGAATACTTTATTATATAAATATGTGATTAATAATAAATATATAGCCCCCGTTTGGGTCCCATTTTCATCCAAAAAAATGCATTCTTTCTACCAACGTGGGTCCCACATTATGACATGTATTTTTGAATTGACTTGTACAATTTTTAGTTTTCCCGAAATACCCCTTTTGCCTTCAACAGCCACATTTTTTGACTTTTCTACCTCTCATAATTGTTGCTCACTGTAAAGGGTAGTAAAGAAAAGGGGGTATAAAAAGCTGCTGTGGACAGTAACATATCTGTGCATTGTCAGTTGAAAGGATTGGTAACGGTTGAATTTTTTCTAAAATAAGAGAGCAAAATGGGTAACAAAAAGAGTCATAGTAAATAGAGTTTTCAAATAATGATTGTCAAACATGGGCGTAATTTCAAATTGATAAAAAAGCCCGACCATCCCGTCTCACGAGCCGGGCTTCTATGAGCGGGCTGTCCGGGCTTATTGACACCATTAGTTTGGACCAAACGGTCATTACACAATATTGCAGAGAAACCCTAACCGCTACAAATATCCCTTCTTTCTAATCATCAGGGGCTTTTGGTTCAGTTAAACTTCCCCAATTATGGGTAGCAAAAAGCACCAAACAACTGAACCAGAAGACCGCAACACCACTAAGAATGGCGATACCGAACTCCAGAAAAAGCATAAGCGAAAGCTTGAAGAAGCTGAAGCAGAGATCTTTACGGAATCAAAGAAAGATCTGAAGAAGAAGAAGAAGAAAAAGAAAGAGAAACGGGAAGAAGAGGCCGAAATACTAAATGGGTCGGATGAAATATCGGTAAAAAGGAAGAAAAAGGGCGAAGAAGAGGGAGAAAAAGAGATTTTCAGTGATGGGTCTGTTGAAAAATCAAAAAAGAAGAAGGAAACAGACAATGATAGGGGAGAGAAAACAATTCAGGAGGTTAGGGAAAGCAGCGGTGTATTGGTGTCAGGGAATAATGTGAATGATTCGAAATATAGGGCATTAAATTCGTTTGCAGAGTCTGGGCTTCCAAGCGAGGTCTTGGAATGCTGCAAGAACTTTGATAAGCCATCCCCAATTCAATCCCAATCATGGCCTTTTCTATTGGAAGGCCGTGATTTTATTGGAATTGCTAAGACTGGCTCCGGTAATCCCTTTATTGTTCTTTTCTTATCCCTTGAATATGGAATTTTATGCTATACTATAATTTTATGTACAAGCTTGTTTTGAAAGCCTATTGTATGCGCTAATAGGCAAAACACTGGCTTTTGGGATTCCTGCTATCGTGCACGTTTTAAGCAAGAGAAAGAGCAAAATCTCTAAGAAAGTGAATCCACTTTGCCTTATCCTTTCTCCCACAAGGGAGCTAGCTCAACAAGTATGTATTTCTGTTGTTTATAAGTATGTAATCTGTTGTTTATATAATATAGCACTGCACGTGTATGGGTTTGAAGCATTAAATTTCACATTATTTGTTAGATTTCAATATGCAGTAGTAGTAGTAGTCGTTACGTAATTCTGCTTTTCTGTTAGCAGAAGCAAAATTTTGGAGGGGAAGGAATCTAGGATCTGTGACCTTGATACCAATTATGAGATATTGTGGAAAATTGCAGTCATTTTTTGGATTGCCAATATTGCATTGATCTGAAAAGATGTTTTGAGAAGTAACTTTGGGTAATGAAGCTGTAAGCCACTTGATATGATCGGTGTATCTCATGTTGACCTGCCCCCTAGTTTTGAGTACCCAAAAAATGATTTATGGCATACACTATGCTATTTTATCATGTTTCATAGTGGGGGTACTAAGTCCTATCATTTCAGTCAAGTCAATATAAAATTAGCATTCACGATCTATTAGTCAGTTAATTATAATAATTTTATTTGATGTTTTGCATATTCCCAACCAACTTGGGTCTGAACTTGCTTGAACTAAAGTGCACCTGTAAGACTGTAAATCGAATCTGCCTCTTACTTTATCTCAGGACATTGTTATTGGAACACCTGGCCGTTTGAAGGACTTGATTGAAATGGGAGTGTGCCACCTGAAGGAGGTGTCTTTTGTGGTAAGTATAAATATTTTCTTTTTATTTTCATGCTTGTTTTTTCATCTTGGTCTCGAGTTTTAATATTAATCATTATGTGGAAATTTGATAAATTACTTGTCCAAATTCCAAAACATTCTCTCATTTTCTAACCCTATAATGTATCCTTTAGTTCTCAATGCAAAATGATGTTTAACTTAAGTGTTAGTGCAAATCTAATTCCCGAACTACTTCTACCTGTCCTTTTGATTAACTAATATTTTCTCTTTTACCTAATTATTTCACATTAGATAATTTTCAGTTTAAGATTAAAAAATGCATTCTACCTTAATTTTCTATAGTTAACATGATTGGGATGTTAAACATCCTATTGCCAAACCTGTTTTTTTGTAATTATTTTCATGGTACACGTGATCTGTTTGTTCTGGTGGAAAAATTTGTTAATATAATTAGTGTTAAAAATCTTTTCTATCTTTGTAAATTCTATAATCTAGGATTAAATCCTTGTTTCCTTTTTCTGGTTGTCCGAAAATGGACACTATCTATGCAGAAGTATGTTAAATACACTGTGCTCATTCTTTATCATGTTTCATAGTGGGGGTACTAAGTCCTATCATTTCAGTCAAGTCAATATAAAATTAGCATTCACGATCTATTAGTCAGTTAATTATAATAATTTTATTTGATGTTTTGCATATTCCCAACCAACTTGGGTCTGAACTTGCTTGAACTAAAGTGCACCTGTAAGACTGTAAATCGAATCTGCCTCTTACTTTATCTCAGGACATTGTTATTGGAACACCTGGCCGTTTGAAGGACTTGATTGAAATGGGAGTGTGCCACCTGAAGGAGGTGTCTTTTGTGGTAAGTATAAATATTTTCTTTTTATTTTCATGCTTGTTTTTTCATCTTGGTCTCGAGTTTTAATATTAATCATTATGTGGAAATTTGATAAATTACTTGTCCAAATTCCAAAACATTCTCTCATTTTCTAACCCTATAATGTATTTCCTCCATTTTCAATTTTCTTGATGGTAACGAGTTCATTTTTTTTTGGTTGTATAACATATTTGACCTGCAGATGTTTTAACCATGGTTTTATCTTTAGGTCCTGGATGAAGCTGATCGAATGCTTGACATGGGATTTGAACCTGAGGTTCGCTCAATACTAAGTCAAACGAACACTGGTACGATATAATACATTGAAAATATACGTACCTGAACCAGAATAATTTTTTATTTTGTCAGATTTTATTGCTATTCATCGTTTTCTAGTTTCAGAAGGTCTCAACTGGCCATTAGATACATCCCTCTTTCCTTTTTTTTTATCTCCTGCACAATCTCCGTTTTGTTATGGTAGAATCGCATTGTTTTCCATAAGATATTGTCTATTTTTCTTTTGCTCAAATATTTGCGCTGAAGATCCTATATTGATTTTCTTGTTAGTATAACTATTATATAAGGTGAATGTCCCTACCTTACTGTTGCCACTTACTATTACATCTAATTTTAGTATTACTTGTACTCGTATTTTCTATATTTTTACTTGGCTAGATATATTTTGCTTGAGTATTTGGATTGGCTCTCTATCAAGTTTCTTATTAGTATAATGTTTAACGTGAATGTCCTAGTCTTTCATTGTTGCTACTTAGTCTTTCATTGTTGCTACTTATGATACAACTTATTATAGCACTAAGTGCAACTAATTTGGGACCTGTAATTCAAATGTCACATACGATGCAGCTCGTCAGATGGTAATGTTCAGTGCAACGTGGCCTCCAGCTGTCCATCAATTAGCCCAAGAATTCATGGATCCCTGCCCTGTTAAGGTTTGGTTTATTTGGGGGAGTACTTTTACAGTGAGCCTTCTTCCATTATCTTCATCTTCATTTGTAAATTGTAAATGAATATGTATCAGGTGGTTGTTGGTTCAGAGGACTTAACTGCCAACCACGACGTCATGCAAATAGTGGAGGTATAGCTGATCATTAAATTTATGAAAGACTAGTATCAATTTTGTTTTCTCAGTATAACATGGATATTAATTTTCATTGATAGCAAGTTTCTATTTTCCTTTATATCGTAGGTCTTGGATGACCGAGCACGTGATGAACGATTGCAGTGCTTGCTGGAAAAGTACCATAAGTCCAGACGGTATATGTTTCTGATATATTATGAACTTTAGTTCTTGTCTTTGTGAAGTGTTTGGTTGACCGAATGCAAGTATGCAGCCTGACATCAGCTACATAGTTTGGCGAGTGAGATGCAAGGCTTAAAATGGTTCAGTCTTATTTAAGTCTGTGCGTAATAACCTTAAATTTTTATTAAACCAAGGACATGCCATCTGGAAATGAGAACATTCACAGATTTTTCTACAAAACATTTGAAAAGCATGCAAACAACAGAGGATTGTAGTGAACCATAAACTTTTTATTCACAATAAAGGGTTGTAAGCACAAATTTAAGCAGTTTTTTTTATCTTATGCAGAAGAATAACATCTATTGATCCAGATAAGTATAATATAGTTTTTTTCAGGAATCAATTAATGGTTCTAGGTTTTGAGCTGAATTAACCAAGTTTTCAAGTACCCGAACGGATCTTAATACTCGCTTTGAATCCAAACACTTTTTGTGTTAAGTTTTGGTGATGAAATAGCCCACATAAGAGATTCTTTGATCCAACCAGGTGGTATAAAGAGATTTCCCCCAAAGTAAATAATGACATATTGTTACCATGTGGGTCTTTATGAAGCAGCTGTTCTAAGGTTTTTCTTTCCCAAAGGGAGAAAAATGGTCTACTTGCGTTGCCTAGTTCAAATAGGAACTTGGCAAATGCAGTAATTCCCTTGTTATATACTTGAACAAAGAAAAACCCTTGAAGAAAATCTGGGCGTTCATTGCTTGTTGCACGTTTTTGTTCTTGATTTTACTGGAATTTCATATATTAATTTGTTTTCTTCCATTGTGCACCATAAGGTGACAATGAAATGAACTCGTTGATATCTCTGTAAATCGATATGGCTGCTTGATTCTTTAATAATGGATTTCGATCTGCCAAATTCAATATTTAGTACCAAGATTTTCTTTTAATAGTTTTATAACTTTTTGGAATGATTTTATTTCTAGGGCAAAATCATTTTCTTGCCTGTTTGCCATGGCTTTTGAAAAGTCAAAAGTTGTTCCTAAGAACTAAAAAGTCGCTTTTGAACCTGTTTGGAAAATTTTTTGGAAGCTGTTAGATGAAGCTAGCCTAAGGTAGCTTTGTCTACAAGAAGCAGAGGCAAACGCCCTGCCAAACGGGCCTTTAGTGCCTTTCTTCGCCCATGGTTGTTAGTTAGAGCATCAACTTTCCCATTTAAATAACCGTGTGAATTTTGTTTTCAATTGTTTGAGATTTGTGGCTGTGTGCATGTATTCTGTCTGGATACTTGGCATGTTCCTATGGGTCAAAGAATATGTCAAGAATTATACCGCGAGTGAGGAATATTTTCATTTTCTGCTTACACGGGTTTCAACTTTGGGCAGGAATAGAGTATTGGTTTTTGTTTTATACAAGAAGGAAGCATCTCGTGTCGAGAGTATGCTTCAGAGAAGGTAATTTCACATAATTTTTTATGTTTTCTTGCGTTGTTTCTGTATGCCTGGCAGTCGCATGGAAAATATGCCCATTAAGACAGAAAGCTTTACTTTTTTCTCTATAAATATGTTTTATTTTTCGTGATCCCTCAAATGAATTTTTATAGCTTTTAAAACCTTATAATATTTTTGGTTCCCAGGGGTTGGAAAGTTGCTTCTATAAGTGGCGACAAAGCACAATATGAACGTACGAAGGCACTGTCACTGTTTAAGGAGGGAACCTGTCCTCTAATGGTATGCAATTCTTTGGATAATACTTAATATTTTGCTGTATACTTGGGCTAAGTCTATGCTATTTTGGTAATAAAGATTGTTCCAGTAGTAATGTGTGTCTGAGTTGTTTCTAAGCATTTTATCATCTTTTGCTATGTTTTTGTTGCTCTGTAGATGATTACTTATATGATCCATTGCATTTCTTGAGTTCTTCAGTATTAAGAGTTTTTGTTTTTGCACAACCTCCTCTTTAGTTTTACTCTCCCAATCAACGATCAAATGTTTCCCATCCTTCTTGCAGACTGCAGGAAAAAGAATTGTCTGCTTTGTAATTTGTTGAGTGTTGTATTGAATTGTGTGATCTACTACTTCAGAGTGATTATCACCTTTTTATACGGTTGGCATCCTATTGAAATATGTTGTTTTTTTTCTGGACATGATTATGATTTGATCCATGCAGATTGGTTACTGCTGGCTTCTTCATTCGTTGTGTTTTCTTGAGGCACTCTTTTCCAGGTGCCAAAATGGTGCCCAACCCATTATTATGCATTGATGGATGGAAGTGAATAACATGGAAGTATATATTGTTTTAAGCAAATAAAAAAAGATGCAGCAGATTTATACAGTCATCATAGATACAAAAGTACCAGAGAAAACTGGGTTGGCAATGGTAGCAGACCCTCCGTTTATTGTCTAATAAAAAGAGATGATAAAAGTTTTCATCTTGAGTCTTGTAAAATGATATAAATCCTATGATTGTTCTTATAATATTGTAGCTGTGGTTACTTGCTGATTAATCTTTGCAGTGGTTGGCTATGATAGCAAGCTTGGCTTTCTATAATGATGATTTCGTGTTTCTGCAGATAGCCACTGATGTAGCTGCTCGAGGATTGGATATTCCTGATGTCGAAGTTGTAATAAATTATAGTTTTCCACTCACGACAGAGGATTATGTCCACAGAATTGGTAGGACTGGACGAGCTGGTAAGAAGGGGGTGGCTCACACTTTCTTCACTAAGGAAAACAAGGTGCATTTTTACTTTAGTAAATGCTAGGTCGACGTTTCTTGAGTTGGCTATATATTCAAACGATAGATAATTAATTATACATTGATACAAGCACTAAATTCTCGCAGGGACTTGCTGGGGAGTTGATAAATGTTCTCAAGGAAGCACAGCAGGTTGTACCTGAAGCCCTACTAAAATTCGGGACTCATGTAAAGAAGAAGGTGAGAATATCATCTCTCTGTGAGGTATCATATAATAATTCGGTGCTTTGAGCAATTTGAGGTTAGCTATCATCTGATCCTCAGAGAAGCCAATAATGCTTCGGCAATAGCATTCTTGCAATTTCATTTTCATTTTTGAGAATCTTAAATGGAGGTGCCTATAATGATGGTCTAACACCGATGCACATAAATCTAGCTGGAAAGCAACATCTGGCTGAACACCATGGCATTGATAGCATCCATTAGTATATCTGTAAAGTTTAAACAATGGGTCTGTTTAGGAACCTAACCTTTTGGACTATTCAATTTTTTGGACTTATTTTTAAGAGGTTGAACAGGCTTCGGAAGTATAAGTTGAGGAGTAATAGCTACTTCTAGTAGTCATCTAATATTGCTTGTTATTTATTTGGGTCATCCTATGTCACATCTTGTTATGTGAGGCATTAATGAATGTCAAGATAATAACAAACTAATGACTCAAATAATAACAAGCTGCTATATTAGATGACTATTGGTAGTCGCAGACTATGAATAGCGTTATTCTAAGCTGAATGAATAGGAGTTCCATATTTTTGAGGGTAAAGGGACTATGAGTCAACGACTTGGAATAAAATCACAGAGGACTTTTATTGCATGTGAGTTTTAAGATTGTTGTGCTTGCTATTCATTCATCTCATGTACATCCTGACTTTGCACAAAATTTGTCTCTGCGACTTAGTTTGATCATATTTCTGGCCGTGTTGTGCTGCTGTTCACTGCGAACTTAATGCAGGAGTCGAAGTTATATGGTGCTCACTTCAGAGAAATTGATTCAAATGCTCCAAAGGCTACAAAAATAAAATTTGACTGTTCTGATGATGAAGATTGATTCAAGATTTCATTGGGAAACGATTCTTGGATAATTTGATTGGCCCCAACATCACAGAAAACTTCAATTTTGTTTGTTTTTCTTCCCCCTTGTTTCATCGTCCTCTAATTCCAGTTTTCAGTTTCACTTTTAGTTTTTTCCTTTTCTTTCGTTTGACTATGCGATATGAATTATGATTAATTTATGTTGGAATGATTTATTACTCGTGACCAAATGTTGATTCTGCTAATACCACATGATTAAGCAAAGGTTGCGAAAGTAAATTCTGCCTATATAATGATAAGTGTGCAGAAAGATTGTTTCATTTGATAAGGACTACTAGCACCTAAATTGAAACTTTACGGATAGAACAATAAATGATAATTGATTGAGGACTCAAGTGATTGAAGTGAAAGTATATGAACTTGACTATAAATTTCCTTATTTTAAAGAGTTAATTTTATTTGTCACATGATAGCAGTGATGCTCAAAAATAATACAAGAGGTACTTTAGTGTTACATAAATACCTCTCGACTTGTGAAATATTAGGTACTTTTTCAATTAACAAAAGGAAAAAGAAAAAAAGAAAAAAAAATTAGATTTTTTTAGTAGATTGTCGTAGAAATGTTTGAAATATGTAGTTGAAAAATTATGGAATTTATGAAAGATGTAATTAATATTAATTATTTGACTTTGATTTAGATTAATCAGAGAGAACTATTTTGGAACGAATAAATACACAATACTATCATACCTTGAAAATGTCAAATTAACTAGAGATAGCTTTTTTGGAATAAATAAATACACATTAATATCATCAATCATGCTTTAGGTACAAATTTTTTTGATAGAAGATTTTAACAAAAAACTCTTGACGCGCCATTAAAAGATGGGAAAACATTAAAATGAAAAAGGCCAATCAAGTTTGGCCACGTTAGCAGTGGTATTCATTTTGTCAAATTTGTTCGGTAGGGATTTTGATAATTGATTTTTTGACTGTTAGAGATAAAGTGGGTCCTATTTATGAGAGAAGAATTCAAAAATGACGATTGGAAGAGTGAAATAACGGTCAAAAAATTGATTTTAATTGACTTTTAATTTGTAACAAACAAGCACTAAAGCTTTATTGTAATATCGTACCTCGAAAACGTAATATGATTATATTATTTTCAACTTTATTGCAACTTTCCAAGACATGCATTTTAAGCACCTGTTTAGTGAAAATTAAAATCTAAGTTTTTATTAAAGTTAAAATTAACAATTAATTCTACTAACATAGCCCTTGTTTGATCCCCATTTTTTGGAGAAAATAAATTCTTCTACAGTGTTTTGACATAATTTTAACCACGCATTCTTCAATAAAATAATATTACACGCAAATTCAATTTTTTTTTTATTTTTTAACTACACATTTTATATCAATACACTATTCAAAAATTCTTTTTTCCCTTCAAAATGGGGCTCAAACAAGGGCATATTGTATAGGATTCATAATTTTTTAACTATATATTTTATTAATTTTTATCGAACTTTATTAAAAGTTGAACTTTAATTCCCATAATATAATTATCCATCATTTGGGCAATATCTGGGAAAGGCGGAAAGCTCCAAAAAACGTGCGTGGAAATTTGGAGTGTCGGCCCAATGACCTTTTCATCGTCCCAATATCAGTGGATCCCACTGGTCCCACTCCACTTCACCACTGCTACTATGCAAAAAAGGGAGAATAAATAAAATAAAATTTACACATTCTAATCTACCCTGATTTTTAATTAGGGTGTTTGGGCCCATTTTTATGAAAAAATGTATTTTAAAATAATAGATTGATAAAAAATGTGTAGTTAAAAAATAATATATATATTTTTAATTTACGTTTAATATTATGTTAATGAAAAATGTGTGATTGAAAAGAAAAGAAAAAAATATATTTTGAAAAATATAAGAATCAAACATGGCCTTTATTTATTGGATTTGACATCCATATGAGAAAATATGAGTAATGCTATTTGTCAATAACTATTCATAGATTGGTGTACAGATAAAGATAAAAGACAATTTGAAAGAGAGAGAAAAAAAGAAAAGAAGTTAATCAGTTAAATTTTAGGGTACGTTTGATTACAAAGATGGAATTGAAAACGAATTTTAGGGAATTGAATTATTTAGAAATTGTTTTTCTGAGAATTGTAAATTATTGTGTTTAATTGGTATAATTTTTCACGTGAAAAATGTTGAAATAAAATTGTTTTTTAGTGTTCGTTTGGCTTTGTTTTACATGAAAATTGTCGATTAAAGAGATAGAATTTACCGGTATTGGAGATGAAATTTGTTTTCATTGTCAACCAAAAAAATCAAGAAAATCATTTATCTTTTGGTGTTCGTTTGATTTTGTTTTAATGAAAATTATTATTTAAAGGGAAATTTTTTTTTACAATAATTCTTAAAATTTGTTTTTATTGCCAACACACAAAAAAAAAAAATCGAAAAAAATGCTACAGTAACCCGTAAACGAATTCTCATCAATATGGTGAGAATTCAAATTCAAGAAAAAGTTAGAAAATGCTGACGTGGCAACCAAAGGTGGAAAATGAATTTCTTAGAAAATTTTGTCAATCAAACAAGTCAAAAGTGAAAGTTGGAATTCATTTTCCATTTTCCCTAGAAAATAAGTGGCTATCAAACATTGCTTTAAAGTAATGTTATTTATCATTATAATGATAGAACATCATAGATTTGCCCCCCAGGCACATCCCAACTGGCAAAGGATGGGGTTCTTCAAGACTGGTAGTTCAGAGGTCGCGTGTTCGATTCATGAGGCTCTTGGAAGGCAAGGCTTTCTCCTGGAAGGCAGTAATTCTTTGGAAGGCATGGTGCATACATGAACTTGACTCGCTCGACACTTTGGTAGTTCAGTGGAGGGGGCTCTTGGACTCTGGCCAGTTTGGGACACAACCCGCGATTTAACTAATCTGCGTGAAGAGGGGTTAGATCGTAGATCCAAGGATTAGTCGCTACAAGGTGAACAACTAAGTATAAAAAACAAAAAAACATCATAGATTTGAAACTCATTATCCCTCACATTTTTCTTTCTTGAGATCACGTCTCATCTCCCTACCCCTCATAAAGATTGAACTTTCTAATTTTATTATTTCACTTAAACTGTCACTTCACCGATATTTTATTATCAAAATGACTAGTAACTAGTTTTCAAGTTGTTGTACCAGAAAAAATAAATAAATAAAATTAGCCAAGCGTGATCTAATAAAATAACAATTTTGTGGTCCTGTTTTTTTTATTGTTTTTGTTAGTTGTTACTTGTTACAATATTTGAAGCTGAATTGACAAAGTATTTGTTTTCCAGCTGGTTCAACTATGTCGTTGTCTGAACCCCCAAACACGACCCAGTCCTACTATTCAATTTTCTTAGCAACAGGAAGAGGACTAAGAGAAACCTCCGCAAAATTCAAGCCCCAAACCCTTTTTGATTATTGTTTCAGGTACTAATTGTTTTTTCTCTGTAATTCCCTTTTGATTTTTTTTTCCTCCAAGTTGAATGCATAAATGGCTTCAGTTTATGTATGCATATATATAGCTTTCCTTCCAATTCTTTTAATATGAGGCTCATGCGGAAATGTGTTATTATACTTGATAGTTTTTTATTTTTATTTTTTTTATTTTTAATACTTCTTTACTGTTTGGGTAGAATTATTAATGAAATTGATGGGTTCCCAAAACTGGTATGTCTAGTTATCAGTGTGTAAATTATATGTGTTTTCTAATGAAATTGTTGTTTCCTCCAAATTAAATATCAGTGTAATATCTAATTAATTCTACAAGGACCTGCTTTGCGGTAGGAATCGGTTAACCTACTGTACTTACAGAACAATGAATGTTGGGTTGGACCATGCTACACTACCAGACCTGTAAGAGGCCTGGTAGTGCAGCCCCTCTCACAGTTCGGGGTGGGGGTGGGTTTTTGGGGGGTATTTTTTTTAATCATGGAGCCCGCCGATGTGAGAGAAAATGGGAGAGGAGCATTCTCCATGTTGGGTTATAGGTTCAACAATGAGATCGGACTGATGAATCTAGTCTTGCGTGAATGATGTGTTTTCTCTATGTATCTGATGGAGTACAATGAGTGGGTACAGTTTCATGATAATTGTGTTTATGGAACATGTAGTGGATTTCATATAATTCTGTATTGTCTTATGATGATCACAATAGTAAACACTGCATTACTCGATGCCCTTTGCGTTCCTTCGCATTAGATATATTTTTTGTTCATGAAAATTGAGAAAATCAGTAAAACAAACCTGAAAGAAAACCTGAAAGACAGATTGTTTGCAGAAAGGGATCAAAGAAGCAGTTAATCAGAGAGAGGGGGGGGGGGGGGGGAAAAAATTTTG